GGATGGCGCTACTTTGTTTAGTAGCGCGTCCAGCCATGGGAAGTTTGGCGCCAATAATACGGCAAGCTGCCACTGCGGCGCCAAAAAGAACTGAGTCCGTCTCGCAAAAGTCCCGGTTGGCTTCCAAATAGGTTACCAGCATTGGGTTAAGAGCCCTCACGACAGCCCGATTTCGCTTGCTTAGGGGTATGCGGAGAAGCCGCGGTCGATTTTCGAGAGGCATGCTGCGCGTTTCCAAAATCGCCTCTTCCAATATACTCCTCATTTGCTCTAGTTCGTGGGAGACCATTTCATCATCGTCTGAATCACCCACAACTGGAAGATCCATGGCGGCTTCTACGCGTGGCAGCTGGTCTGTCGCCTGAGGAGCCTCATCCCCAGCCGTAGCCAATTCATTCGACGAGGGAATGGCCTCACGTCGTAGTCGTTCGAGCTCGGCATCATCGAATATTTTCGAGCGCATGATGTACCGAACTCGGTCTGCCAGGTTTTGTTCCTTGACGGGAATAGACGGCTCCAGCTCAGCAAAAAAGCAATGCATCCGAGCCCGATACGCTATCCCCGCAGTTTCTTCCCCCTTTCGCCCTATAGTACGCCCGCAATGCGTTTGCGTTCATATCCCTTGTCCAACGCATGCGGCGCACTCCACCAGCGGCGGATGCCGCTTGTCGAGTCCGAGAGGACCCTGCCGACGTCAAGCCGTCTGGTGGGGATGATGGATGCGGGGGGCTGTTAGGTGATCTTGCAGCTCCTCGCGCTCGGCTGGCGGCCCGCATGCTGCCGCGTCCAGCACCAGCTCCAGACGTGCCCCGGCGACCCCCAGGCAGCGGCCCTATACGTTTTCCAATCTTATCCATCATCCATTTTTGGGCGCCAATCAGCGGGAGACGCCCAGGCCCGGCACCGTTTCATTGTATCATTGTACGGCCGTAAGCACAAACGGGCCTTTGCACCCTGAGTACTGCCGAGGCACGGCGCTCACACCTCTTGGCAAGGCGCTGACTGACTGCACCGACGTAGCAGTTATGGCCCTTAACTGTTTCGTCAGCGGGCGATGGGGTCGTCACTTCCCTACGCCTTATTATTATTATTATGGATCTATATAGTTTTTATGTTGGGTTTATATATATAATTATAAATGAAAATGAAAAGAAATATACTAATATCAATAACATAAAATAAATATGTATTTTTTTATATTTTTGATTTACGACAATATTTATGCAAAAATAGGTGGCCGGCACAATTCAGAGGTCCTGTACTGTGGGGCGCAATATATATATATTATTTTACAGGCTCACATTGGATAGCTTTATAAGGTAGTTTGTGAAGTTTGTAAGGTATTTTGTAAAGGTGAGTTTTTAAAGTTCTTATTACTCGTTCTACAATGGAAGCTTTTTAACGGAGTACGTGGAATAATGATTTTATTATAAATAATTCCTTACCTTTCCTAGATGTATTAGTCATCCGAAATCCTAATCATACTGTGTATAGAAAAAAGACCCATACAAACTGATATTTATACGGTGAATCTCACCACCATCCTTCACAGTTAGCTACCGTGGGCAAATCTTTGTTACAGAGAGCACGAGGCATTTGTGACAGCAAACACCTGGCCGCCGAGCTTCAACACGTCAAGCAGGTTCTGCACGACAACAAGCTTCGGGTCCCGCGCCTACGTCACAGTGACCGATTGAAGCCGGCCACAGTCGAGCGTGTGCCTGCTGTACTACCATATATCAGAGGTGTCACAGACAAGATTGGGTACATCTTGAAGCGAGCTTCTATTAGAACATTCTACAAGCCGCCGAAGAAGATCAGTCAGTTCCTACCATCCGTCAAGTGTCATATTCCTCTACAAGATGCAGGAGTGTACAAGCTTGATTGTGAATGTGGTCTCTCTTATATAGGACAAACAAAAAGATCAATTAGAACCCGTGTAAAAGAACATATAGCTGATGTGAAGCATCAACGTTCCGGGAAGTCTGCAGTTTGTGATCATATCCTAGACGGCCCCAATCATTACATCAGATTTGATAGACCACAAATCCTCGCGAAAGAACACCGATTCCTACCAAGGATGATACGTGAGGCTATTGAAATTAAAAAACATTCTAATTTCAATAGAGAAGGAGGCTGGGCACTACCACCTGCTTGGGACCCTATAATCAATAAAATTAAACTAAACCCAAGCATACCGCTGCAAGACCTCAAGACATAGTTAGTTCATTTTGCATAGATCGGACCATAAACAATAATTAAAATAGATGAAGGTACTACAGTTTTAACAATGACATCGGGACGTCAGTCACCTCAGTCCGTGACCATGGGTGCTGGAAATAAAAATAAAAATATAAACACGATAAAATCCCTAAAAGTAGTTTTAATCAATGTGTAGTGTTCGCGTATATATAAGAAATCATTATGTAAATCTGCTCCTTGTTTAAAAGGTTTAATATATAATCCTCTTATTACAGCAACGGCCTCCATCATTCTGTTGTGTCTTTCAAATTCCTGAAGACTCTTTTGTGCTGCTTTTGAATCATTAACAGCTTTTGCTATACCCGCTGCTCCACCAGCTAATGATCCTAAAGCTAACAATCCTGCAAATATGGGAATAAGTGATAAAAGTCCTCCACACTTTGGAAGAGGATTACAACGGGGTGAACTTATTCCTTTTTTATTACTAAATATTTTCTTTGCAGCTGTATAAGCATACTTTATAGCCGAGTGGCTGTCTTTGGATTTTAGCTTTTTCAACTGAGACTGAATTTTTTATCCCCTTCTAAAATGCTTTTATACACTCCCCGCTTGGATTTTTGCTTTCATCGCATTTTTTACTACTCGTATCCATGAGGCAATTTTTTCTCCTTTCTTAGCATCTTTTGACATCAACCTCCTCTTAGCCATTTTCAAAATTTCTAAATCCGCTTTTTGTCGAACATCCGAATCTTTGTTAATGTAAGCAATATTATGAAGCATGTAGGCTTCATCCAATTTGTTTACCCCTCGATAGCCTTTGAGTAATCGATTTTGAAGTTTCGTTCCGGGGCCGCAAAATTAATAGCCGGGTAAATGTAACTCAAACGGTAAATTATCTACCACGTTATTAATTATAGCACTACCTTTCTTCATCGATAAGTATAAAATGAGATAATTAAGTAATAATGCGTTATTTATATACCTTCATCACTAATTCTTTTTTATCCACCCAACTATTTTCTTCATCACTCAAGCCTTACCATTTTACTAAAAGCTTATTTCCTTTTCTTTAAATAACTTTTTAATAAGACAAAGTCTGGAACAGTCTGGACAGAGTCTGGAAATTTAGTTTTAGTAATTCATAACCGTAATTTTTTAATTGTGTTTGTCGTCTATTTGATAAGTTAAAAGATTGGTTTGGTTGACTTTAAGGATACGAAATACTTCTGTAGACCAATTAGGGGTATAACCTTTATAAAAATCTCCTTTGTATTTGCTTATACGAACATAATCGCCAACGCGAAATGTTGGTCCTTGGCGTATCTTAGGCTTTTGATATTTTTTGATGTTTGACATAACTAAAATCGCATTTTAATCATTAACGTTGATAGACTCGAAATTTGTAATGCGATGCAATGTATTATTGTACCGCTTTACAACAAAATCTAAATTATTTTGGAACCATTGATATCGCCCGCATAGACGGAATATTTTGTGAAGGTGAGTTCTTATTACTCGTTCTACAATGGAGGCTTTTTTAACGGAGTACGTGGCATAATGATTTTATTATAAAAATAAAAATTTCATTAAATTCTTAAAAGAATCATTATAAAACTCTGTATAGAAACTATATCATTTATAGAACTACATGTAAAATTTTAGGTTTTCGTCTTGATTCTGATACTAAACTTTGCATCGCATTTTTGACACAATTTTTATGTTTCGATTTCAATGGTCTAACCCACACGTATTTTGATAGAGCATCGATTACTACTAGAACATATTTATATCCTTCATTAAATGTTCAATATTTTTGAAAATCAATCAGGTCAGCTTGCCATAAATCTCTATTCCTTTTATAACAGTATGTTGACGAGAAAAATTTCTTCTTGCTGCTTTGTGAAGCTCATTGACAATATCTTGTTTATTCATTTTGGGTAGATTTTGCTGCAATCATGAGGTCGATTTCTTTTTACGAGTAATACAATGTCCTGAAATTGATAGTAGTAAATTTTTCTAAATTGTTAAGGTACTTTTTGATATTATTCTGAATGGTTTTCATTTCATTTTTAAGTTCTTGAACACATTTATCCACATATTCTTTATTCACATTCTCATCGTCTTTTTCAGGAGATTCCTGTTGATTTCAAATCAAAGTCACCTGCGTCTGTTCCTAATAAAGTATCACTGAGAATATCAGAGCATTCAGATAGTCGTTAACGCTTATGAACATGATGACCAAATTTGTCTTTATTCATCGTCGTCTTATGTAATGAAATGGTACTGCGTAATCCTCTTGTAGGCAGTAATCTTTTTGTGATGACAGCTTGTTTGTTGAGTAGCTATGTTACCAGCTGCCCATGATCCGAGTAGTAATTTTAATCGTTCCACGAACTCCTTTGGATCGTTCCAGTAAACCAAATCAGTATCTTTTTTAACTTCAATCCTTCTCCCTTTGAAAGACTTTCTGCGCTACTTTTACGAGTTCTCGAATGCTTAAACAATAGTTTAATCACTCGCATATATTTAAATCCTTTGTTACTGGTTGCGCGGATAAAGAATCGGGTAATCTCACATTTTATTCGGTTGGTTATTGTTTGCCGGTGTCTTTCCGTCCCACTATGCATTCTATTCCTAATGCACTGAAAGGGAGGGTCTAGAATATGACGCGATTTTGGGCCAATGAAAACGCGCCCCGCCGAGGTGGAAGTGGGAAAAATGGCCTACTCATAGATGGACGCGCACTTTCACCACTCACACCCTTTTTACATCGTGGTCGAAGAGAACCGCTAGTTGTGTCCGCACCTCTGTGGCAGTCACGCCACGAACAATCGAAAACTAACCAGCTCGCATAGTGCGAGTTATCGTCGCGCATCGCTCTTCCAACGCACCACAAGACCAGGAGCGTCGTCCTTGAGGCCACAAGGACCCCGGTAAGTACTTCCTTTTAATTTATCTTGAACCGTTTTATTTCCTTGTCGCATTTCTCTCCCTTAGCGGTTCAAGTGGAAACTCCTTCGAGACTCTGGCGAAACAGTAGATTTTAGAATAGCGAGCGCATCGTCCAAGGCTGCTGCATGCTACATCAGCCATCTTGTTTTGGTTGTAAGAATCCGCATATACAGTCCACATAGTAACATCTCGCATAATAAGGTCAAGGTTCTACCTGGGAATCGAACCCGAGACCCCAACCGCCGAAAACATTACGGATCATTAGCCCCACCATTTTTCTGATTCCTTCGAGCAGGATTCGAGGGGACAATCTGTGGCTCAACCAAAGGCTCTGAATATAATGTTCAATAACTCAACTGGAAGTGGAAGTATACTTGTTCCCGCGGGATAGAAGTGCAAGCATGTAGGCGCTAATTTGGTTAGACTAAAAAAAATTGGACCTCAATGAACATAATGAAGTTAGTCAAAACATGTGACGCAGAAGCCCCATTAAGAGAATTGGGACCTTCAGCGGCATATAGCTCGAGCGAAGCCAGAGCAAGTGACGCAGAAGCCCCAATTCTCACCTATTACAAATGAGTTCAAACACGATCGTTCTATTTAGAGCCGTCACTGAGATCCTATACCCAACTTCGAATCAGAAAGGTGAGATCATAATCATAGAATACTATAATACATACATAATAGAACGAGTGAGTGGGCGGAGCCCGTGTAGCCACTAAAATGTCACTAACATGCCAATTCACACGTACAAATGTCAACACGAGATGTGTTTTGACGTAATAATCGTTTCCATATTTCGCATGCAAATTATTTAGAAAGTACCAAATTGCACACTATTTACGTATAAATATGTATTAAAATTTAAACGATTTTTTTTAATGAAGATTTTGAACATTAATCAAAAGTCTCAAAATGTGTAAATTTACTCAGTCTATCAAAACAACAAATCATGTGTCATGTGTCATGTCATGTGTGTGCTCCCGGCGACGCTGATTCTCGTATAAAATAAGGTTGACAGACATTCTATTGTGTATTACAGTATTCTATGATCATAATAGTCACCTAGCTCTTTAAAAGCCCTTTCATTTTAATTCAAACACGATCGTTCTTTCTAGTGCCGTCACTGAGATCCTAAACCTACTTTCGGATTCCATCATAAAGAAGGTGAAATCATCACAGTCATCGTCTTACATTTCAAATGATTCCAAACAATGGTTCTATGGAGTGACTCCACTGAGATCCTAAACCTACCTTCGGAGTCCACCATCAGCTAGGTGATATCATCACAGTCATATAGGTCTTCATGAACCTTTTTGAAAATTGAGTTCCAACACGATGGTACTACGCAGCATCACTGAGTTCCTTTACCCACCTTCTTAGTCAATCCTAAGAAAGGTGACATCAACACAGTAACCTTAGTCTCCATCCTGCTACAAACGAAATTTCCTAAATATATAAAATAATAAAAAATCAAACAGCATATAGATAACGAAAATAAAAAAAATTTCAACTTAAGATTTTACACTCATGATCAATTTTTGGATATACGTCAGTTCAACTGAGCAGTTTAACTGACAGTACGCTCGAAAAAATCCGTGGGTTGTCGGCAGTTAAAAATGTAAACGTAATATTTCACACTCACGATCTGTTTTTGGATGTACGTCAGTTCATTTGATCATTTTAATTTTTAACTGACCGTTTGTGGCATGGAGGTTAGAGAACAGGAGCGCCGTAGAAAATAGTGTCCCAGAAATATGGACACCATATGTGAGGCTCTGCAATCGCTAAATTCGCTAAATAAATTTCATTTTCAGTCTATTTTACCGATCAGATGCTAAACCACTTGCACATCTACGTACAATAAAATATTTCTCCATTTTTAATGTTTCTTTTTGTCAAAAATTAAAAAATTACAAAGCATGAAAATTTTCTCACCAAAGCCGCGACTAGCCGATGACTTACGGATCAGAGACGTGGTCCTTCACCGCTGGCCGTATGAGGACGCTCAAAGTTGCTCAGCGAGCTATGGAGAGGGCTATGCTCGGAGTTTCTCTGCGTGATAGACTCAGAAATGAGGATATCCGTATCAGTAGAACCAGAGTGACCGACATAGCCGAACGGATTAGTAAGCTGAAGTGGCAATGGGCCGGCCATATAGCTCGAAGAACCGATAACCGATGGGGAAGAAAGGTTCTCGAGTGGCAGCCTCGTACCGGTAGGCGTAGTGTAGGGCGACCCCACACTAGATGGAGTGACGACCTGGTAAGACATGCAGGAAGTCGATGGATGCAGGTGGCTCAGGACCGTGCTTTGTGGCGTTACTTGGGGGAGGCCTATGTACAGCAGTGGACTTGTGAAGGGCTGTAATGATGATGATGATGATGATGAAAGCCGCGAAGAAAATTTGTACATTATTCAACTAACTTCATGTACTTGTACTCATAAACAGCTAAGTTCGCAGCTACTACTTACCGACGGCAGTGCCGCTATAAATTTTACAAATTTTCAAGGAGCCCGCCCAGGCTATGCTTTAGTACGTAGCGATGGTTCTCCAATTCTCTAACCTTCATGGTTTGTGTCAAACCGTCAACTTATTGATAAGGAAGTACTAAAATGTATCGATATATATCGTATCGATACTTTAAGACATTGATATTGATTTCAATTTATAGAAAAAAAATAGTCGACATTTTCTAAAAATATTTGTATTTAATGAATATGCATTGTGTTTGATTTTACCAGTCTAGTTCAATAAATCTGTCAGTAATGCGATTCATATAAATACCAAACTAGAAACAACGTTTCAAGTCAAGTGACATCACGTGACTGTAATGTAATGTAAAATCATAAATCAATAAAACATTGATATACAATGATTTTTATTCGAAATTAAATGGAATACATTTATGTAAACTCATACGATAAATTCCAACAGTTAGTAACGTTTTTGATACATTTTCGATACTTGATATTTTATATCTATATATAGATATTTTTAAGAGAAAATATCGATGCATCGATATTTTTTTCCCAAGCCTACGACTACGACGATTATAATTATTATAAATAAAAAGTCGTGACAAGATATTTAGCGTCTTATCACATGATTAGTATGTGAAAATAATATTTTTCATGAGCGAGCGGCAAAGGACGTTACGATTACGAGCTGAAGACATGGCCACAACAAGCACTGCGGTTACTACGGCGTCTTCACAAATACCAGAGGTAGATAAATGAATAGATGTAAACACAACTTTATCTTCTTTCACTGATGTGTTCTTATACTGAAAAGCTGTTTAGATAAGTGGTATTTAATCGCGTCTGTTATCTGTTGCAAAACACGATGAGGTCTGTAAATATTCTCGGAGTTTTTATGTTCAAATTTATTAAAGAATCGTTCCGACCAATTCAGAAACAAAAGTATTCTACAAAAACATCAGGTTTACTTAGTGATATTAATGTACTGGATCTAACAAGAATTATTGCCGGACCGTTTTGTACTATGACTTTAGGGGACTTAGGCGCATTTGTTATCAAAGTAGAAAGTTTGGATGGAGATGAAGCCAGGAAGTGGGGACCACCTTTCGTGTATAATAACAAAGATTCCTTCTATTTTATGTCTGTAAACAGGAATAAGAAAAGTATCTGTATAGATTTTAAATCTGTAGAAGGTAAGTTGGCTATTTACTTAACTGAAATAAATTTTAAAGTTTATATTGGTATTAACTTATAATTGTGATTATAGTTAAACATAGTTTTGAAATATGAATTGTGTACATAATACCTATCTATCTATTACAACCTATAAAAGCCCACACCTGAACTTAGGCCTCCCTTGTAGATATCAGCAGGGGGATTTTGCCATAGTTGCCACGCATGGTAGGTGGGTAACAAAACATAACCTCACTCCTAGCAAAGCACTAGGGGGGAGAGAACAATATATATCTAATCTCAAAGATGTCTTGACAAGCACCGGCCGGGGTTGGGCGTTAGCATTTGAAACATTACCCATAAAATAATAAGCTTCTGAAATTAATATAACTTTTACAAGACTTCATTATGTAATTTCTACAATGTTTATAAAGCAATTTAGTGTCATGTTTATGATTGTTTTATCAAATCAATTATTATAATACATATTTCTGTCTGCACTTGTCCATGTTCAATTTTTATAAAAAGATTTTGTTTTTGCATAATAGTTACATTTCAGTACATTTACAGAGGTTTAAAAAAGTCAAAACATACTGTAATATTGCCCTCACACATTCACTGTCCTGTGACCCGTATACTGTTCATTGCCATTGATCGTACACAATAGGTGTCTGTAAATCAGACTGTTCAGGCTAAAGAATGTCAAACTTCTATAGATATATTATAGATTATTTTAATGAAAATTCTTCATGACGATTCTATAGATTCTAAGGAATATATTATGTTTATGATAATTAAGTTTACAAGAACAATAAATTGAGTATTGCTATAATGTTTCAGGCAAAAATTTAATGTACGATCTAGCTAGAAAATGTGATGTAATGGTCGAAAACTTTGTGCCCGGGAAACTGGACCAACTGGACCTGGGCTATAATAGGTTGAGTAAAATCAACCCAAAGCTTATATACTGTGCTATTACTGGTTTTGGTGCAACTGGACCATATGCACAAAAACCTGGGTAAGCAAGATAATTGTTGGATAAGATGTGTAAATACTGCATAAAAATTAAAATAATGTTTTACTTGTTTTTATTGGATGAATCTACACAAATAAATAGAATTGAGGTGTCTATTTTGAATGTTAAAATAACAGTTTTTTACTAAATGCGTATGAAAGTATATACAATACATATAACAACAATTTTCCAAAAACTGATTATATTACAACATTGAATATAATTCTAAACGCAACAGCTTTTTTAGGATGGTCAATGACTGTATGGATCGACACCTTAGTTTGACAAGCAATAACAATTATACAGTGGAGTCAGCGTAGTATAGATTACTCAAAACAAGTAAAGAAATCGATATCAAAAACTTAAAGGCAATATTTGTGATCAACATGTTATTGTGAATTTGTGACTATTGGGAAATATCATGTTTACAAATAATCTAATGTCAATAGCTTAGTTGGACAGTTTGAGATCAACAGGTTATCAAGTGACCTTACTAAAAATAGTAAAGTCAATAATAATAAGTTATATGGTGTATAATCTATGCCATTTCAACTCATGGATGTCATACAAAACAACTCAGGGAAATGCTAGGAAGATGTAATGGCCACTTATAAATCAACCATGATATGTATGCAGTGTCAAAGGTGTGAAACATCTGATACTACAAATGCCAAAACTGAGTGATTATTCAGATCTTCCCCAATAATAGTGAGGCTCATGCTTAGCATTAGACTGTTATATCGGCTGATGAAGAGGGGGGAATGAGTGATAGATGCTTTTATGAGTATCTGTCTTTTGTGAATCAGTTCTCACTATGTAGTATAAGGGTATTTTTAAGATATATTTTGATGTGTTAGAGCCGCTCTGAATCCATATTATGGCTGCAACATGAATGGTCATAAATGGGTCGGCTTGGCCAGGAAAGGACCACACTCCCACAACAACAGGGTAAAATAGTTGCTTATAGTGTGTCGAGAACTACAGACCCCTTTAGACCCATAAGAGGTGTTTACATTATATTCTTTATCAAGGATATGTGTGTATGTTTATGTGCCACAGTATCCACTTACCATCAGATGGACTCTGTGTTTGTATCTCACCTTTATCCTATAAAAAAAATAATGATCTTGTTACAGGTATGATGTAATAGCAGCTGCTATGGGAGGTCTGCTTAACTCAACAGGGGAGAGAAATGGCAACCCAGTGAAACCCGGTGTAGCAATCACTGATATAACAACTGGATTACACGCCTTTGGAGCAATCATGACGGCATTGTACTATAGAAAAAATACAGGAAAAGGACAAAAGATTGACTGTAATCTACTATCAACACAAGTCTCAAGTATGATTAACATTGCTAATATATATTTAAATTGTGGGATTGAACCCCAGCGTTGGGGCACTGCCCATGCAAATATAGTACCATATCAAGCTTTCAAGACAAAGGATGGTGAAATTATTATTGGAACAGGTTCTAATGCCCAATTTGCAGACCTGTGTAAACTTATTGATAGAAAAAGTTTGATTAACGATGAAAGATTCAAAGACAACTCTGGAAGGGTAAAAAATAGAGACGAATTGATTAAGATTATCAGTAAAGTTATTGAGACAAAAACAAAGAAGGAATGGATGGAAGTTTTTAAAAATGCCTCATTTCCCAATGGCCCAGTTAATACAATGAAAGATGTGTTTGACGACGAGCATGTAAAAGCTATAGAATTGGTAAAGGAATTACCTCACCCAGATGCAGGGACCATAAAAGTTGTTGGACCTCCAACTGTTTACAGTGCGGGGGGTAATAGTGTTAGATCTGCTCCCCCCACTTTAGGAGAACACACAAAGGATATTCTATCAAATTTTCTGGGATACCATGAAGCTAAAATCAATGATCTTTTTGATAAAAAAGTTATACGATGATTATTTTATGTTATAACATTAAAGTGTAAAATCATTGTCTTATATATGTCCTCAGTATGATACTAAAATAATGTACTAAATTATGTGAAGATAACACTGTGAAGATAAATGTGGCACATCAATCAGAAGTGTGGACTAAATATCAATTAAAATAAAATATTTTTAACAGTACATACTCTGTTATTTCTTTTTTTATTCCTTGTTACTTATCTTAAGGAAAAGTAGTTGTTTATGTTTATGTAGTGCTATTGTGTTATAATCCAAAAAGTGATAGCTTAGGGGTTAAGCGCTGTTAATTTTACTACATGTACCTGAGCGTAGTTTGCGCGAGCGTAGCAGGTTCGAACCCCATCGGCACAAATGAAATTGTTCATTGCATTATTTAAAGTACAGATTCACCACATGCTCGACGATGATGGAAAACTTGCAAGTTTGAGAAGTACAAAAAAAAATCGAAATTATGTGAAATCCGCCAACACGCAATAGGGGAAGCGCGACGGACATTTCTTTGGCCTAAAATCCTCTCAGAAATGAGAGTAGGTTTATGTCTAGCAGTGAGATGAGTTCATAGGCTGTAACTTTAATTTCATTACTTAAGAAAATAATGACATTTCATTCATCAATGAAAAGTCCACTAAAAATAACATTTCATAATGTATATTGGAATTTCTTTTGGAATGCTTGAGTGTTGAGATTGTTTCCTATTCATTCAACTTTATTGTTTGGACGTGTAACAACAAACTTTGGAGCATAGAAATAGTCAGGGGTCAGGCAACACGGCTCTTGAAAACTTTCTTGCCAACTCAACTCAAGAGCGGTATTGCTTCCATAAGGTAGAGTCTGTACCCCTTTGAATTGGCCCTTGCGCGAAACATTGTTGGCTACGCCCATAGTTCAGGTTAAAAAAGCATAGTAATCGAGGGGTCTAATGCAGTTTTCATAGATTATTTCCTCAGAAACGAACGTAATTATCATCCATATTATGATCTCACTCTCTCAGTTAAATATATGAATCAACTGTGACGAAGAGATATAACTATAACCTTATGTTCTTAGATAAATATATTTGAGTAAGATCTTGCACAATATCTCTTATCTCTATATTAATATTTCTATAGAGATATTGAAAGATATTATAACTCACATTCAAGTGTACATAATGATAGTGATAATTTAAACTTGTGTTTTATTTAAGATTTTGAAGGATGCAATATCTTTTGTATCAATCACAACAGGGCCTAACCATGCAGGACGCAAGACTAGAAAGTAAAAAAAAAACATAACTAAATGTTCAAGTATAAAAATATGTAACCATTTGTCATTAAATAAACTTTTATAAACGGTTATCTATATACAAATTGGAACATATAGATATTTATTTGCACGAAAAATGCTACTTTAATTAAGGTTAATGAATAAACTACTTTTATAAGTCATAATAATATCTCTTATTTCTATACCTGATGTATAATCATATATTATATACATCTATATATATCATATACATTATACGTCTCTTGTTTATCACATGCATGGTTAGTATTAGACTTGCAATGAATAGTATATTATTCGGCCACTCGCTATATACCGAATATGCGGGCTTCCTGGCTTCCGAATAGGCGAATATAAGGCAAAAGTATTCGGCCGGGTAGTGTTTATACAGAGCATTTTTTTCTCTGAAGCTGGGATTGCCTACGAGAAAAAACGATGTAAACTTAGTCTTTTTGCTCCATAATCTTCCAATTATAAATTTTAATTAAAGTGCCTTGACATTTATTTGAAAAAAAAATACATTAGGTATTAATATAATAAAATAAAACTTTTATTTTACCAATTATATGACTACAACATAACATTTTACTTAAATATTCGGTATTATAAAAGTATCCGAATATTCGTTATAAGTCTAACTAGAGTCAAAAAAAAATATAAATTTTTATAATTTAATTGTACTGTTGAAAATATTTATTATCCTGAACTTTTAATGAAAAAACTAACTTATTATTTTTTTGATTTTGGCCATAAAAAGTCAATAATCCTTTTTTATTAGAACATTTGTAATAAAAAAATCTGTAAATAGGACTGCTATAATTTTATATTCAAAATTAACTGACGTTTTCAGGCTCCACTGGAACCGGTGGCCGTTATTACACTGCGCCCAAATCGCACGCAGACCCGCAAGAAAGTCGTCTGGACCGAGGACACCGTCGACAATGAGAACATGAATAAAAAGAAATCCAAATGTAAGATATACTCATACTCATTTCCATCATTAAGCAGGATATTTATATGAGCCATTTCAGGGTAATTTTTTAAATATATAAGTAATGATATACCATTATTGCCGTTTTCTAAAATACGAGTAAGGCTTCTACTTTTCTTTTTGAAATTATCCCAAAATGATGGTAGTTTATGGGCAAATCGACCGCCGACCCTTACGTGCGTAGTTTAATAGTAGGCATTAAATATTGATGAATGACAATCAGTTAAAATAACGCGTTCTGAATTTAAAAGATAAAAAGGACAGAATGTTTGAGATTTATTTTAATTAATTTTTCTTCACTATTAGCATATATTACATATTACGAATCTTTTCTGAAAATTTGGTGGTATATTGCAAAATAACCCTAATCCTAATAGTTAGCCTAATAGCCTAAATAGGCTAATAAAACAAGCCTAATTAAGTTGTATGCTTGGCATAGATTTCCTCGTTGATTAGTGGTCGTAGGCGTGACTGGTGATCATAAGGTCCTGGTTTCGAATTCCGGAGCGGACCAAAGCCATAATTTACAATCCGCTCACTGCCATGTCTACCCGTACAGCTACTCTCTAGACAGGATGACATCTTCAGCGTACGATTAACAAATGAAATTTATCAATTTTCGCCGAACAGATTTTATGTGTGTGTAAATTTATTTAAATATGTGTAGGTGTTACTGTTCATATTATATTATACTAAATGATTTTTATTGTCTGGAAAAAAATAAGGTGTAACAGGTGAACCGACTACAAACCTATGGGCACTGATGTTTTACAATTTTATTTTATTTTATATTAACATATTATGAAATTGATCTATCGATAAATACTACTAATTGGGTGTATCTTATTCTTATTTCGATAGCTTTTAATTAGTTTATTTATTTAGTTAAAAAAATTGTTGTTGTTATATTAGTACTAAAAGTTTATTTAAAATTAGTAGTATTTATTAATTTTATATGTTAATGTAAAATAAAAAATATAAAAACTATCAGTGCCATAGGCGTCTAATCCGTTCACCCTTTTTTTCAGACAGTAATGATGAAGTTTACGATCTGATGCTATATTTTGCAGTCCGCGTCCTTAATTTTCCCTACTGCTTGTATTTCATCTTACTAGCATCTAATTACTTGTATATGTCGTCCTCCAATTGTAGAATTTGGCAGATCATGACGTGACTGGACATTTCATGAAAGGAAATGATGATTTTTATTCAATATAGATTATAACATCATACTTATTGAAAGCCATTTTTTTTATTTAACACTGATACGCCGCCGTTTCATCAGTTGGCCGATAATTTATCCGCCATAACTTGTTTCTGTGTCTATTTTATATAAAATTATAAACATACGCGGTTTTGGCTGCACCTTAACATACTGTTACGAGCTTAGGGTTCGTGACAATAAAAACTGACGATTGAATTACCAAAATTAACACTTTAATTCACCTTACACTAATTAAAACTTAAAAGACACTAATAATTAATCACACTAATTCACTTTATTTCGCTCCGAAGCTTCGCTTGTCTTGTCAAATTCAATACTGCCTCGATCGCGTCTTGCAGCGCCTTTAAATACACATTTTCACCGAAACATCCAGAATATTCAAGTAAATACGGGCGCCAACCGACCAGGCGCAGAAAGTTCGAGTGTGGGGCTTCTATAAAGCTTAATTCTTCTGTTCGATACTAGATGGCGCTGTTGGTCGAAAGTCAAGATTGACATTTTCTCGGAAGCCCTCTTCCCTCTGGTTCCCGACACTAGATGGCGCTAGTGCCAGGTACCTGACGTCAACTTAGGCGCGCAACAATACTGTTGCAAATTTTTCTAGATAGGTGCTTTTCTGTGTTTTTAATATATTAATAGAAGTCAAAGATATAATTTATCGGCCAAATTAGAAATGGCGACGTATCATGAAATGCCCAGGAAGAACCTGTCTAATTCAATCATCGGACTACGACATATAAACGATGGCTCAAAATGTTCAGGTTGCTGCATATATGAGAAGCCGCGTCGCTTCGGCGAGTCTGACTCGGAAAGCAGCGACGACGAGTGCGAGCACTGCTTCGGTCACGTGGAGCAACGTCGTCAGAAGCGACAGGCCGGCGAGACCACCACGGAGTTGCAGGTGTCTTGTGTACTGTTAAATACAACTCTTAACTATTTAAATAAATTAACACTACTTATTAAAGGATTTACTTAAATATTCGTGGAACGCAGTAAGAAGTAAATACAATGAAAATCCACTGCTGAACAAGTTTATGGTTCAAGTATGTCTCTTTTAATTTATTATGTCCCTATGGTGACATATCTTGGCTAAAACTAGAACTTGCAAGGTTTCTGTGGAGTGAATCGTACGTTTCGAAATGTAAAAAAAATATATTAAAGCTTTATTTATATGATATATATATATATATATATATATATATATATATATATATATATATATATATATATATATATATTATTTTCGAGGTGCGAGGTCGGGGCAATAGGTGACCCAGTGATTTCACGTCTGACGTCGCCAAGTAGTCGATTGTTTGCTTGGCCGTGTGCGAAAAGGCATTATCGTGGTGAAGGATCCTACTGCGAGGTCGTTTCGCCCGAACTTTCTCCAAGACAAGTGGCAAACAATTGTTAGTGTACCACTCTGCAGTAACTGTTTTTCGATCCTCTAAAACAATTGTTGCGTAATGTACTATCCTTTCCAAGAATCCAGAAGAATCCAGCTTTCTTCACCCGTAAGTATGTCGAACACAACATTTGAGTCACCTCCGTTAAATCTTTGAACCATTTCACGACACCAATCAACACGACGGAGTTTTTGGGCTTCTGTCATATTACATGGAGGATTATGTGCACTTAACTCTTACCGTTGCCTAAGCTTATCCGAATCCGCTGATAAGTCACTCTTTTGTCAGTCTCTATCATACGCCGCACAACACTGATATTATCTTCAGTCGTCGCCGTAGAAGGCCGTCCCTCACGGAAATCATCGGTGAGATTAGTGCGACCACGTATAAACTCATTAAACCCGTTGTAAACAGTGGCACGAGATGGGGCTTCATCGTGAAAGGCCAATCGAAGTCTATCATAACTTTCTTGTCGACTTAAATGACGTCTAAAGTCATAAAATCATTGTACGAATTTTCTCGCGTTAAATTCATGCTGCCGTGACACAGACAATTTTGAATTTGCTGCCAAAGCGTAAAAAAATGACAAATTAATAAAATACATACACAATAATAATGGCAACGAGTTCCATTTTTGAAATTTGATATTATTTTATTATATCGTTTACAAGTGACCAGTTCTATAAACTTTCAGTGTCGCCCTCGTATAGCTGCAGCAGGCTTTACCACATAAAATATTTTATTGCTTTTTTAAAATAAGTTTTATTAAATTCCAGGTAGCTTCGGAGAGAACAGCAACAGTAACGCTCAAAACAGAAGAAGATCGTCCCTCATCCCCTGCGCCCCCCACTCCGCCCGCTACTTAGACTGCACTTCCTTTTAAAATTAACTTTCACTCCCCATTTCAATTGTTAAAACATAGACGTTACATTATAATATATAGTTTATTAATGAATAAACACAACATTACAAGAATTTAATAAGGTAAATATCTTCGATCAACAATAAAAACAACTACAGGCTTGTTCGGGAGGTTGGGGTTTGCTCAAAAACAAGTGACACATATATGATTTATTATTGCCATATATTTAAATATGTTATACTTTTATAAAGAATCCTAGATATGGTATTAACAGTAATAATGACCAGACTTAATTTCGGTCACGGCGAGCAGTCTCAACGGAGACCCGCCATCTACGCACGATAGGTTTATAATGCACTCTCTCGCCGGTAATCAGACACGACTGGAGATCAATTAGGCGCACGGGGTGAAACATTTTTTTTTCTTATAGGATAGGGTGACAAACGAGCACACAGTCCACTTGATGATAAGTGCGTGCTGTGGCTGATAGACATCTACATCTATCCTCGATTACGAATCAAAATGCAGATGCGTTGTCACCCGTGAGAACTTGGAATGCCTCGTTTCCAGTAAAAAGGGTGTCCGGTTCTCTACACTTACCATACGAAACAACAGCATTAAGCTACTATTTGACGCTGGTATTCTGTGAAAGCGTGGTCCTTCCCCGGTCGAGCCGACTCATTCGTGCTACAACTATACTACTAATATAACTGCAGTATGGCTCTACCACGTGTTTAGCCACATTGTCAACTTCCTGACTATGGGCTACTATTGAGAATTTCTTGACGGATATGCTCGAATAATTGATTTTGAGACACGACCCGAGATTCGAACGCGAGACCTCATGATCAGCAGTTGCATTTACATGTACTACGCTATCGAGGCAGTCACACTTTTAATATTAATAGTTTGACTGCCTCAAGAATATTCTCATTATCCACTTCAGTGCTTATGATTTACGATAGCAGCGAAATGACGGATTAAAAGTTTCAAACCCATAACGTTTTCGTTTCATGTGTGCGCGGCGTGTAGACTTATGAGAATCCATTTCAATAGCCGTCAAAATTCACTGTGCCGTGACCCACATATATTACTATAGTCTTACTATTATATCTGGAAACCGGACAGTGAATGTTAACAATAGTAAGTAGGGTTGTCAACTGTACCATGTAATATTTTTACTATATTTCTTGTACATGCAAAGATATACAAAGAAACATGAATACCTGCAACGTTTTTTCTTAATTTCGTAGAATGCTATATTTTCATGTTACATACTATTTATTTGAATACTATTGTTAAACTAACTAAACTAATAATACTTGGCAACCCTAATAGTAGGCGTAGTTGAAGAGTTTTTCATGTTCTGACCCGTTTCTCGGTTGTATATTGTTGATCGAAGGTAAATAAAACGTATTTATTGCAAGATGAAGAGAGTTTTCGTCGGTTTATTGACTTTATCTATACTTGAGGGAGCGCGAAGCGTAAATATGGACTGACTAGTTAAACGCAAATTAAGTATTTCCTCAGACTTTTGTTTTCCTTATATAGTTTAAGGAGTTTTATTTTCCTTTGCATTCGAGTTTAAGAATAAAAAAGTGACTTACCAGTGACAAATAAGCTGTGTAAAGATGTAACCACACTGGCGGCTATTTAAAACATATTTATTACATTTTTCATTGAAATCTATTTAAAATCTGCTTATTTTTGTCGCATACGTGAATGTTCAGAATAGAAAAAGAAAGATATTTTTTCTATACAATTCAAATGTTTACATTTAAATATATAAGTCCGTACCGTAAGAAGCGTTTTCTTTAAATAATCATCGTGGACTTAGTTTTATGATTTAAGATATTCTCTTTGGTCCAATAAGTGACCAATGATAGTGAATAACAGTTTTTTTTAACACGAATGACTGATCGCCCTGTCTCTGAATTTATAGCCTATTAATTAAAATGATTGGTACCATCATGTATACTATGCTATGCTACTATAATGTACTGTGTTAAGATAATGCTTAATAAAACGTACTACAAGTTATAATATATAAGAGTTTATTTTGTCTAATACTCTTAAATATTTATTAAGAATACTTGTCTATTGATAGTTTTTTTTTTTAAATATTTTTGGATCTTGCGCTTCCCATTCATATTAAAATGTTCTATGAAACAGCAATAAATTCGTTAAGCAATGTTTATTAAAAATTGTTTGCTAAATTTAATTACTGTTGATTTAAAATTTGTAGATTTACCTTAAATGTTAACCCTTAAACGCATGATTTTTTTATTTTTAGGAAAAAAATATGTATGTTATGTCTCTGAATATTTAAGAAGGTACAGTCCGTTAAATTCTTCATTTTGTCTCTGTAGGATGCAGCCTACACTATGCACTCCAAGTAAAATGTATATATACATATATATACAAGTAGGTGTTTATTTAGTATGGTTTTACTCAAAATTAAAAACAAACAGATTGCGTGTTTAACTTATTTATTGCGATATTCTCTAAAACAATTGTTTTTTCTTATTGTAACAAAATCATCATTACATTTTTCATATATGGTTTGGGTAAAACCCACAAGTACACTTAGGCATCTTATAAATGTTACTTTTGTCACAAAAAACTGGCCAGTGGGCTACTTGGTGTAGTCGAACATCTTTTACTGGTGCAACCTGGGAAACACCTTTCCTCTTTTTCGCCTGAAGGGTCTTCCCCTTTTTACTTCAGTTTTCTCAAAAGCCAAGGGGTTTCAGCTACTTCTACACGAAATGTACCAAAGTTACACAGCATCCCACAAAATCAAGGTTTTTGTGACATAAGTTTCTTGTGGCACACATTATGGTACAATCTTCATTCGATAGGAAAAAGAGAAAGTTGGTCTAATCTTATGTAATTGTCATAACGAGGATTATCAGATGGAAACAGTCAGTCAATGTTGTGTAAAGTTTTTCATAACGGTTTAGAAACATGCAGTTATATATATATGAGCAAACCCATACTTAGGAGACATTAGGGTATTGTATTACAGACAAAATATAACATGCCTTCTTGTATTTAAATTAATAATAAATTGCCTTTTGTAACTTCTCCTTTGAGTAGAGTTAGTACTATATTCAATATTTATAATCTATAAAAACAAAATACTAATAAAACAGCATAACTTACTTAGAAAAATCTAAAAAAAGTGTTCACACAATCAATTCACTAACAAATTTTTCAAAAATCACCGTCCGCTAAAAAGTTTCAGTTGTCAAATTCGAATATACAAAAGAAAGTACTGCCAACATAAGAATTTTTTTTTCATAGGATAGGATTACAAACGAGCACACAGTCCACGTGATGGTAAGTGGTTGCTGTGGCCCATAGACATCTACATCTATCCTCGATTACGAATCAAAATGCAAATGTGTTGTCATCCGTGAGGACTTAGGTGGAATGCCTCTATAATGGTGATAAAAAGGGTCTCCAGTTCTCTACACTCACCATACGAAACACAGCAGCATTAAGCTACTATTTTACGCTGATATTCTGTGAGAGCGTAGTCCTTCCCCGGTCGAGTCGACCCATTTGTGCTACTACAATATTACTAATATAACTGCAGCATGGCTCTACCACGTAAATAAAGTCTGTTCTCGATGAACAGGTGACATATTTTTTTTATCAACACAAAGGCGTATGACATTCAGCCATCAGATGTTCATTTCAGCATTCAGAATGTTGTCTGCATCCTAAATTATGAATTTAAGAGTTAAATGGAAGCTTCGGCAACCGTTTGGCGTGGTCAGAGTACCACCTATCTGCTACTCTGGGGTCTTGAAATAGAAACCCAATCAATGGTAAAACAGAACATTTTGATTTTGATTTTTGCTTTTTCATTCAGGTTGTCTCACTCATTCTCTCATTGTCCTCGATTCTATGTCACTGCATTCTTCCTACTATATGCCTATGGTGTCTAATAATATAGTGTATTAAATTTTGTTCCCGGAGATGATCTAATAAGGAAACAGGAACCGCACGTACTTCGATTAAAACTACTTTTACGGATTTTATTTTATTTAATAAAACGCGATAAAATCCGTAAAAGTAGTTTTAATCAATATATAGTGTTCGCGTAAATATAAGAAATCATTACGCACGTACTTCATCAAAGATTACGTTCATAGTGCACGTTCACATTGCTAGTTTGCGACCGACATGTTAGTTTCATCTTGTCTCTCGTGCAGTGCGGACGTCGTGTCGTTTGGTGCTCCTTACTTGTGTTCTCATCATTGATCTTTTTTATTCTAACATTGACTTTGCTTAGCTATTGATGTGTATTTTGTTTGGAAAATGTCAAACATTTTGGATGATTTACGATCGATCTATATAATGATTGCGTAAGATAATCTAAACTAAAAATGCACTATTGCAACATAAATGTAAGCGGTGACAGAGGGAAATAATGACACAGCATCTTCCTGACAACAACACAAAATTATAAAAACTGCAGTTGCTAACCCAAACGTGTCAACTATAGCAAAAATCTTTCTTATAAGGCAATCTATTAGATGTAGATAGGCTGTAATGGATAGTAACGGTAACTAAATGTCTTGCAGTGTGATTTAAACATTTGTTAAAAAAATAATTGTTATCCAATAATTATTATTTAGAATATAACCGTCATAGAATAGTATATTGTGTAGTTTCATTTTAAAAACTAAACATTAAAACAATATTTTTCAAAATAAAAAAAATAATTTTCTGGAAATACTAGAAAATTTTTGACAAACGAACACACAGTCCAAATGTGGTAAGTGGATTCTGTGACTTAAAGAAATCTTCGTATATCCTCGAATAAGAATTGAAATCCAGATGCGTTGTCACCTCCGAGAACTAAGGATTGCCACTTTTCTGGTCCAAATGGTCATAACTTAAAAAAATTAAGTAGGTGGAGGGAAACCTGAGACTTTTTGTCACAAGTTCTCTCCACTCAGCATGCGAAACTGCAGAGCTGCTATTTCACGC